AAAAAAAATGTGAAATTGTTGCATCGATCTGCTTGCAATGGCGTCACTGAGCTGTGCTGGAGAGCAGGGCCGAGTCAACGCTGGTCCGGTGGGAGGAGCTCCAGGTGGGGTCCTAACTTAGCTGGCCGGCAACTGCCCAGAGGTGCCGCACGTGTCGGGATCCTCTGGCAGTTGCCGGCCAGCTAAATTAGGACCCGCACCTGGAGCTCCTCCCACCGGACTCGCCGCTGCTCTCCCGCACCAAAAAGGGAAGTGAAGAGAAAAAAAAAAAAAAACATAGCGCAAGCATGGGGGCATTTTGACAAGTACTTGGCAAAATGCCTTTTTTTCCGCCCTCACCCCTTCAGCGCCCTCAGACGGTCGCTTGACTTGCCTTGCGGCAGCGCTGGGCCTGTCTAGGAACACACCAATGATGACACCTTTTGTAGAAGCTCCACCCTTTGCGGCATGTAATTATTTTGGCAATACCAATGCTAGATTGAGCTATAGGTGGCAGCATGGGATTTTTTTTTTCTAATAGAAGTACCTTTTATGTGTACAGACCACCAAACAAAAAGTTTTTAAAAATGGTATTATGCTTCTTACATGGTAAGTTACATAGTTAGTCAGTTTGAAAAGTCCATCGAGTTCAAACTAAGTGTATTTCCACTTCTGCAGTCAAATAAAAAATAAAAAAACCTTCTATATGTGTTCCCATTCAAACAGCATACAAAAAAATAATTTAAAACACTTCTTACCTTTTAGATGTTTTGTTGCAGCAGGCAACGTGGCCGATTCCATTTTTTTTTTCTCAGCCCCTTCACAGTAATCTATCCTTATAGAAAGACCTAGGATTGAGGATTGTGTTTCTCTCATTAACATACAATGGAGAAGCCAGGGATTTGTTCCTTTAATCCCTCGCAGCCCCTCCCAACATTACAAAGTAGGGGAAGCCAAGTAGAAATAGTAACAACACTGCCTCAGTACTCCTCTCAGCAGTCCTTAAACCTGATGCAAGCAGTGGGATGGTTCTTGGGAGAATTTATGCAAATATCAAAATGCCTTGGTGGGTGGGTGTCAGTCTGGAAGAATGGGCGTTCCTATGCAGACTGCATTTGCATAAAGACTGCCCTAGGTAAAGCCCACATGTAATGCTGAGCCTCCATGATTGAAAATCGAAATCCAATAAATGAAGGGGACAGGCCAGGGACAGTCAGACTGGGGAGGAAAGGGCTAGATCAACCTTTTTCAATCGGGGTGCCGTCTGCACTCTTCAGGGGTGCTGTAAAAAAATCAATTGAATTGAAAGTTTTTCTTTTTTAAAACAGCCATGGGTGGCAGGGGCATCCCAAGGCGGGGTGTCACCTGGAGTGGATACTGGGCGACACCCCGCCATGACGTCATTGCGCATGCACGGCCATCTTGGTGATGGACGTCGGCAGAGAGGAGGGAACGTTCACCTGGCGGGATAATTTATGCCGCAGGGTTCCCTCTTCTCTCCTGAAACGATCCATGAACAAGTGCATGACTTTTCAGAGGGAGGTGACCCCAAAATGACTGGCAGTCCACGCACCTCCCTTGTGATGCCACTGATGGGTGGAATCATGGGTGACTTTTTCCCACAAGCTAATTAGTAGTTATGGTCAAAACAACCAACCGCACTTTGCGGGCTCCCCACCAGCATCAGTTGCCAGGACACAAGAAGCTGGCCCACAGAGCTTGGTTGTACCAATCAATTGAGCAATTTCTCATGCCGAATTGAAGGAAGCACATCCCTGCTGAGACGGGATTCAGGGCTGGCACTGCAGTACAGGGGGAGGAGCAACTGAGCAAGCTGTGTGGACCAGCCACCCATAGTTTGCTTGGTTGAGGAGGGACTCTGATATTGGGGGTGGGGCTCTGATGTGAAGGGGGCCCCCATTTTAGACTGGGATGCCTTAAAATTTTACATACATAGGTGCCGTGACTAAAAACGCTTGAGGGACACTGGACTAAATTATCCTGGACATCCTCCAACCAGGAAATGAGCCGGGCTCTGACGTGCTGCAACGTCTAATGTACATTGTGAGACGCTCACGGCATGCAGTGAAATCAGAGTAAGTAGTTGGAGCTTTAAAACAGAACTCCAGGCAGATATAAAATGCACAAATTGATGTAGCTCTGTAATTATTATATGCTATATATAGAAATATACAAACTGTACAATGCAAATAATTACATCTTGTACGGTACATTTTGGTAAAACTATGATTCATGCTACGAGAGAAAAAAATGGTTTCCTCCCTTTGAAAATATTTTTAGCATTGCAGGCGTAGGTGGTAACATTTTTGAAATGTATTTCCCGGGACACTTACGAGATGGCTTGCATAATCACAATCCTCATTGTCTGATAGAAACATCGGCCATCCTTTATTCTAATTATGTAAAGATCTGAATTCTGGTAGCTGTGCCAAAAAACACACAAGCAAATGACTGGTCACCAGTATTGCCTGTGGTCACCTTGCAGCTGATCACTCAATTACCACCATGCCTTGTTCTGCACAGTTCCGGTATTATGGTGGAGTACTGCACTCCCAAGCTTGGCAAAGGTTCTCGACGAAATCAAATGACTGCTGAAGTGCGGTGCTCTCTACTGCCTGGTGGAACGCCAATGGGGTTTGTAGGAGAATCAGCTTGTATGGGAGTAAAAGGATGAGAGGACCACGCCATAGGGATCGGCAAACCTTGAAGGTTCCAAAGAAATCAAATCATTGCTGAAGTGCGGCAGCTCTGTACTGCATGGTGGAGCGCCAATGGGGTTCCTAGAAGAAGCATGTATGTAGTAAAAAGGACAGGAGAAGCCAATAGGGATTGGTCCAGGTATGCATTTGTCACAACAACAAAAAAGGGTGTACCAAGAGTTGACACCTCACTTGTTTTGGAGGTTATACACAAACCTGTCATCAGGCCTTAAAATGTATTGAGAGGGATCTGGAGAGGTGGTTAAAGTGTACCTAAACGCAAAAATGCAACATATTGCAGCCTACCAGTCCTCAAATGTGGTGGGTGCATTGTTTTTTTTAGGCTTTCTCTACTCCTCTCCTCCCCCCCCCCCCCCCCCCTTTC